AAAAAAAGAGAGAGAGAGAATAGACCAGCTGTCAGCACCCTGGGCCTGAGTGGATGCGAGGGAAATTGGCAGTCTACCCCCAAATGGAAGTTTGACCCTAATTGTGCTTTCCTCTCTCTCCTCGCCTTCCGTATCTCCAGGCACTGGGCAGATCTGGCTGGATAACGTTGCATGTCAAGGGACAGAAGGGACCCTGTGGAATTGCAACAAGAATAGCTGGGGCTCTCACAACTGCAACCACAATGAGGATGCAGGCGTGGAATGCAGCTGACCCCCCACAGCCCCTCCACTTCCGCTCCCCAAGTGTTTGCAGGCATGGACACTCAGCTCACCTGGGGGAGGGCCGCTGCTCTCCGAGGGGTCCCTCTGGGGCGGGGTCACTAATAAAGCTCAAAGCACTACCTGGTAATGTCATTGGCTGGGGCCGAAATCACTCGTTCCTACCTCTCATCCCTTACGGATGAGCCCACTCCACGCACACATTTCACTGAGTTCTCCCGGGGAGACAGTGGCGTCTCAACTTGGGGGATCTAAACGCGATGGGGAAACCGAAGAGTGCCCAAAGTCAGTGTGAGGCATGACCATCATTCAGCCCCAGCACTGGAGCCGTTCGCCAGCGAGTGAGGACGTTGGCATGTGGTTGACATCATGGTGCATGATAAATAGGAATGTTGCCTTTAAGCATGAAAATTAGTTTCCTTGGGATGTGAGCTCCATAAATAAAAGGACTTTTGTCTGTTTTATTCACCCATGTAGGGGCTCAGTAAACATGTACTGAATGAACTGAATTAAACCAAGAGGGTGGAGCGGCTCATGCTTTGCGCAACTTGGCTTCTGACTCCCTTTTCAGGCTTCCCCTGGGTTATATATTTTCTGAGTGCACTCTCACGAGTATTTTCTCTCTCTCTCTCTCTCTCTCTCTCTCTCCATTATATATGCTTTGGGTAAATGGTAAATCTGGGAGAGTGAGATGCACGTGTGATATGACTCTGAGGTATCATCATTTGCACCGGACCCATGGGGAGCTCAGCCTCAGGGCATTCGGAAAAAACGCCCAGGGTCACTTGTAAACAGGGGAGCCAAGGTTAGAACCCACAGAGGGGCAATGGAAGGCCCGGGCCTAGGAGTTACCCACCGCGAATAAACACATAGGTGGATCTCTGCAGGATGGAGAAGTTGGAATTTGGTGAGATGTGAGCCGAACTTTCCGAAACCGAAAAAGGAACAAATCAGAAACACCCACTGTGTTGGTCAGTTATTGCTGCACGACAAATCACACCAAGTATGGGTAGGTTAGAACTCTTATTTTTACTCATTCGTGCACCTGCAGGTCGGCTGGAGACTGGCCCATCCAGGCTGGGCTCCACGAGGGGGCGCTGCTTCAAGCTGCAGGGCCAGCTGGGTTTGGCTCTTCACTGAGGGTCAGGCTAGCCATGCCATCCAGAACTTGTCTCCTGGTGAAGGCAGCAGCATAAAAATGTAAGCAGGCACCCACGATGCTCCTTAAGGCCTAGGTTCACAGTCACTTCCCATCCATGGCCTTGGTTTCCATCCCTGAGCTATTGACTCCCTAGCTTATACTCCAAGTGCAGAGCTCTCTCCCGAGCCCTAGTCATACAGATCTGCCTACCAGCCACCTCCATGTGGGTGTCTCAAGGTCAGGAAGCTAAGGTCTGACTCATCGTCTGCCATTCCTGCGTCCCCATCTCAGCCAATGGCTCCCTCCATCGGGGCCCAAGACAGAAACTGAATGCCAAAGTCCATGCCTCCCCATCCCTTACCCCTCAAGCACCAGGCACCCAGTCCCACTAATTCTACCGCCCTGCCTCCAAAACATCTCTCCAGCCCATCCAGCTGGCTCCTTCTCTGCAACCACGACGGTTCAGGCCACAGCACCAGTCCAGACGCTTGGAACATCTCCTAATCAGTCTCTTCCCTGCACCACACCCCATCAGCCACCTCTTCATTCTCCGGGCAGCAGCCTGAGAGATCTTTAGAAATGACAAAGAAACCATGCTGATGCCCACCTAAGGCCTTCAAAGGCTCCCCATTCCCCGAGGCAGTGGGCCACACGCATCACATGGCTTACAAGGAAGTGCCCCTGACGATCGATCTATCTCCGACACATCACACGACGGGCTCTTGCTATCTGTTTTCTGATCGACTCCCTGAAGGAAGGAAGGAAGAAGGCAGGCTAAACCCAGCACTCAGCTACTCAGCTTTTTCTGCCCTGTGATGGCGTCACCATCTTCCCTCAAATGTTGTGCATCGTACTCTAATTATTGTGACAGAGGACCTCCCCACTGAAACCCCTTCCCAAGGAAAGGAAGGAACGGCTTTCTCCAAAGGTGAGTCTAATCCTCGGTCGTTTACATTTTATAAGGGTAGCTTTCAAAACAAACTCATTGAGCTCATGGTTTACTAGGTGCGTTGTAAATTTTAAAACCTCCTATCTCCCTGCTGCATCAACATCCCCACAAAACACGCTGTGAGCACCCAGCCCAGGGGACCAGGTGTACCGGTATGGTAAGGTGGCCCCCTGCCACAGGTGCCCCTTCCCACCTCCCACGACTATGACCTGGTGATAGTCAAACACCAAAGGGGACCCGTGAAGACCCCTCACGCCCTTTGCTTGTGCACCCGCCCTGACCCCCCATAAAGGCCCTTGCCCGTGGGTCCTCGGTCTCTCTGCTCCCCACCTGCATGGCTCAACCTGTTCCCTGAACCTGAACACTCCCCCCCATGTGGCGGCCCCCCGGCCTGCGGTGACTCTGTCTCACTAGGACCTGTGAGCATAGCACACTTCCTTTCCCTGCACCTCTCCTGTGCCCCGTCTTGTGGCAGCACGTGAGTGACATCCCCGAAAAGGACAGGGAGCCGAGAGCATCACGCGATGCAAGTGATACTATTCTCATCTTATAAACCCGCGGCACGTGGCTCCCAATTCATCGCCCTTCCATCCGTGGCCTTCACAACGTGACCCTGCAGCTCGTCAACAGAGGCCAGTTCTCTTCTCTTACACACTCTCTCTCTCTCTCTCTCTCTGGGAATTCTCATCATGTGATGAAAACTAGTCCAGGTTAGCCCACTGGGGGATGAATGAGCATGTGGAGCAGGGTCCGGTCACCCCGGCTGGGGCCAGCCTCCACCAGCCAGCCTACAGCTGGCCCCAGTCACATGAGGGAGTCCAGCCAAGGCTGGTCAAGCCTGGCCCACGCTGGAGGGACTAACTGTCCAACCAAGCCATAAACGCATGGGCAATCACAGATGGCTGTGGCTTAAAGCCACTGACTTTGGGGGTGGTTTGCTATGTAGCAGTAACCCCCTAACACAATTAACTCGACTAAGGACACCCAGCCAGTAAGAGGCAGAGAGATTTGAACCCAGGTCTGTCTGGCACCAGGAACATTAAGAGACCAAGGAAAGTTGCTGCCGCCCGCACCTCGGCCAGGCAGCTGCCCTCATAAGCTCTCAGACCAAGCTAAGCTGAGAAAACCTCCCTTCCAGAACCTCCGCCGGGCAGGGCGGGGCGGGGCACATGGCCGCAGCGTGGGCACGCTGGTTCTGCGGCTGACGGAGGGCTGGTTGTGGGGCAGGAGGGGAAGTGGGTAAAATTAGCATGACTGCATCCTCAACTGCCCGAGAGCGGACTAGGCTGGGCCGGGGCTGCTGAATGTTGGGCATGACTGCCTAACCTCTGCTGTTCATGTGCAGTAATCCTCCTCCCTCCTGCTTCCTCTTCCTGGAAATGCTGTGGCCTGGCTGAGGCCCGCAGGTCACAAACCAGCACGGGGCCCCCCCGGCCCAGCAGGACAGAGATGGCCCTCTGTGCACAATCTGCACCCCCCGCCCCCATCACTCCCCTGCCCAGCAGAGAAAGCCCAGAGAGCTCCCTGGCATCCAGCCATAGAGATGCACCTAGGAGGGAAGGTTCCGGAGCCAGGCTGCCTGGGCTGGGCAGCCTATAACAGGCTTTTACCTGGACAATCAAGGTGTTGAAATTCTCTGGGCCCCGGGGGGCACCTGGGTGTTCAGTCGGTAAAACGTAGGACTTTGGCTGGGGACATTATTTCGCAGTTTGTGAGTTCAAGCCCGCATGGAGCTCTCTGCTATCAGCATGGAGCCTGCCCCGTCTCCCTCTCTTTCTGCCCCTCCTCCGCTTGTTCTCTCTCTCTCTCTCTCAAATATAAACATTAAAAATTTAAAAAAAAAATTCTCTGGGCCCTGGTTTCCTTGTCTATAAAATATAGTAAGAATTCCTCCCTCTCAGAGTTCTTGTGAGGATTAATCAAAATGATAGCTAAAAAGAAAGCATTTCGCATGGTGCCCGGCACATGGTAAATGCTCAGTGCTCCTTACTATGATCCTTCAACACCCTCCACAGTCCACCCCTCGACCCTTGCCTCCCCCCCACTGCCCTGCTGGGCCCTGTGCCCCAGGCAAGAGGGTGTTCTCAGAGCCCTCCCATCCGCGCCGCTTGCGGGGTAGGATGCACTAAGATGGGGGTCCATGGGTCCTCCAGGGCCCCACACAGACAGAGCTGGCAGTGGGAGATGTTTACTGGGGGTCAGGCCTGTGAAAGACAAAAGGCACTAGAGACGCAGACCCACATGCAGACATGACTCGGTCCCCTCTAGGAGTCCCCTGCTGGGCAGGAATAGTCAGGCCCTACACCGTCCTCTGCCCCATTCAGTCCCTGGCCAGGCTGCCCCGGAAGTGCGCGGACTTGACCCGGAAGTGGAGGTGCATCCAGAAGTCGCCGCCCAGAGGCCGGAGGCTCCTGTGCTCCCGCAGCTGAAGGATAGCTTCTCTCCTGCGTGGCCGCTGGGGGTGGTTTGGGGGAAAGCGTGGGGGGTTTGGGATCAAATTTAAATCCCAGCACCAATGACCGATTGTGTGGCTTTGGGGAAGTCACATACCCTCTCTGAATTTCTGTTTCCCCATCTGTAAAGGGGGAAAAATGACGATGATGATGATAAAAATATAATATAGTGCCTCACATGGATTAACTGCTGTGCTCTTGGCACATACTGGGAACTGAATAACAGCAGTTATGAGAACAGCTTGACTCCAAGCTTCCACTGTAACCTGTCTCCATGCCTAGAATATTGTATCTTCTTCCACCCACCACTCCAGAATCCTTTCCACCCTCTATGGCCCAGTTGACGTTGTACTTCCTTTAGGAAACCTTTTCTGACGACTCTTGCTGCAGACAAATCTTTCCTTTCACTCAATCCCAATGGCCCATCCATGTAAGGAAAGCAAAAGCAC